TTAGAACATGATTAAGATGTTGTCTACTTCTTGTTGGAAACATTTACACAGCACTGCTTTGGGGTTGGGTTTTTTGTTGGTTCCCCCCCCCCCAGTTGTCCGTTACTGACTATAGCAATAATCCCCTCCCAAAGAACAAATAAGTAAAAAGCTATGTAATAAGAGAGCTGCTGTGTCTATCAGTTACGATGGAAACACTTTGCCTTTGAATCATCCTTTTTCCCAAATGTATTCAATCCATGAGTAACTTATTAAAGATCCACACAGACTCTATCTTAGCCAGTCTGAGTGAAAATGAAAAAAAAAAAAAAAAAAACCCAAACCCTTGCATTTAAACCGTTGCTGTAGAAGTGCTGCATTATGTTTTCATAATGTGAGTTTGGGAAAAGATGAAAATAATTTGCTGTACTGCTAGGACCCATTGTAAATGAAGAAGATTATCTCTGACTCCTTTCAGAGGTTTGAGTATTTCAGAGTATGATAGAGTGTCATGGTCACCATGCAGCATTTGACAGTGACCATTTGCAAATAATTAATGTTACCGTGGCATTCCCCATATAAAGCCACAGTAAAGTTAATTATGTGGAGTGGCAACACTGTAATGATCTTGAAGATAACTGCTGTAGAAGCAATATCTGTGAGGAATTAAAAGAGGACTTGGAGATAATTGTATTGCATTGTAAGTTAAAAATGTGGTCACAGCTTTGATACAAATAGAAGATCAAGAATATTTCACCTGTTTCTAATTTTCCTTTTACTTATAAAGGCAATTGTTTGCTTTATTCCAGGTCGGGAGGGACCAGTTAGGGAGTTTACAGGCTGAAGCCCTGAATTAGAGGGGTGGATATGCTGTTGAGCACAAGGACTTTTATCAGTGTATGTTGTTAATTCAAGCATATTGCTTCTCGATTCTGGGAGTGGGAGCATGCGTATAGTGCTGGTAGTGCCAAGGAGCCTGTTCAGCCCCACAGGTTGCTAAACAGGGAAATCCAGAATGGGCTCAGTCTTTTGAGAGAGGATATCACCCTCAAAGGATGCTGGTCACTATATCAAATCCGGGGGCCCTCAAAGTTCAGCTCACCCAGTCAGCATCCAGGGTGGTGATGTCCTGCCATCCTTCAACTGTCCCTAGGGAGAAGAACATTGGTCTCTCATGGTCTTCTGCTCCTCCCATCAGCCTTCCCTGCCTCTTCAATGAAAAAGCACCTTTTCTGTAGGGGAAAGGACAACCTGTGTGAGTGCTGGCAGCTGGCAGAATCTGGCAACAAACCAAGGTGGCCTTGGAGGGGATGTCCCACCATCAGGCCAGTGTCAGCCTCCTGTGCACTTGGAAAGATCACAAAGACTTTTTGGCAAAAGGGTGGTGAACTGACTGTGCATCTGGGGAGGTTTCCAGCTCTGTGCTTACTCTGGCTTCCCTTGCTTTGCAGGCACAGTTTCACAGCTCTAAAAAGTGACCCTATATATTTAGCTGACTTAACTGTTCCTTGTCAGCCTTATTTTTCAAGCTTTTCCCCATCCTTTTCCCACCTCTTCAAGGCTTGTCAGTGTATTTGTTGCAGTCCAAAGTTAAGAAGTCTTGAGTGAGTCAAGCCTGGGTGCCTATTCCCTTGCTCCTTTTTTGTCTTGCATCCTTTAGTGTTTGTGATTCTGGATGGTGTCCATGATGGCACAGCATCCCCTCATAACAGTGTCATATGGAGCAGAGGGTCTATATAGCAGACCCTCTGCTCCTGTTGGGATCAACATTATGTAGTTAATGGTATGAAAGAGGACTTGGGAGAAAATGCAGTGCTCTGGTGGCTTGCGGTTGATTTTTTTATGGATTTGGGGGTCATTTCTTTATTTTTCAGTTTTCATTTTGAAATGCAACTGCTCAGTCTTATCTGCTGTACCATCTTCCCAGTTGGCTTTCTCCAGTGTTAAAAGTGATGCTGTGTTCTCCTCTTTTGTACTTGTAGTTCCTGATGATTTTTGATCTGTCTCTTCACTTCTTTGTATCTGTGCATGTTAAATCTCCTTTTCCTTAACTCATTCATCTCTCTGGCTTGTCGAGACATTGCTATGCTTTCTCTTCCGAAGCATCCTCTGTTCCTTTGCCTTGTGTCATGCTCTTGTTTTATTAAACTCCCCAGTTTGATCACTATCTGTTTTATTAGTCAACATATGACAATGGTAGCACCAGCAATGATCTATGTCAAATTTTGCCATATAGTTTGCTTTGCTATGTCCCATAAATCAGGGCTGTAACTCGCTCACGATGGGACCGGGACCTTTTTGGGGTATAAAAAGGCAGTGGGCCACTGGTAGTGGGACTAAGTTGTCTTTTCTTGCTTTGTGGTACTTGGGCTAGGTCACATTTCATCCTTGCTGGTGTCCTACCAGCTGTGCAGCCCGGGCACTCCTCTCCATCCGTGTTATTGTTACAGTGTTTCTACAGCTATAGCATCTCGGAGCCCTTGGACCAAGACCCTTATATCCCCTCAGCTGACTGAGGAGTACTAATTTGCTGTTACCAAATATCAGCAGTAATTAATGAGTCCCCTTCTTCGGCTATAGTAAGCAGGTGAACTGATGTGCTTTTAGCTGACCAGAGCCAATTCGTGGAGTAGTTACTTACAGAGAAGTAAGTCATTTCAGAGCCCATGCCAGAGTAGAGATTTGGGCAGCCTGTCCAGGATAGGTGTGATAGGTCCTTGTTCCTCCTTCCTCCCTTGTGTGGGTGTGCAACCCGGGTCAAAATCTGGCTTTTTTTAAGGAGGAGATCGTCAGCTATCATTTTGCCTGCATTGAGCTGAACTGACGTCAGTGAAACTGCCTGTTTCTGTCAGTGCTGAGTTTGACCCATTTTATTCAGAGTGTATGTTATGTACCTCAGTACAAATGATGAAGCAGTGACTTAACACAGGCAGTGATTCATGGTGGCAGACACCTCTGCAGTCCTCAGAGGATGTCTATATCTTTCCATAGCTGCACTTTGCTGAGGAACCGCCTCATTTTCAGCCCAGACTCATCTGGAAATGGCCAGCTGCAGCTGGGAGATCCAGACTCTCTCTTTGTGCACCAAAATCCCCACCACCTAACTTCTGAGAATGCTTTGTCTTTGCCATACGTTAAAGGAGGGCACAGATGATCTCTAGCTTCTCCTGCTATGGGGGTAACAAGTACCAAATGTTGCTGTAGCTCTTGTGTCAGAAATGTGCCATATGGTGTGAACGTGTGAAGCCGCAATTGCTCCAGTGGATCTCAGTGTCATTGAGCTCAGCCCTGCATATCTGTGCTGGTTTTGCTTTTTCCTTAAACTCGCTCAAAAACTACTGCAGAAAACCCAGCCTTGCTATGTGTTGCTTTCTTCATCTCTGTTGTAGGCATATTACTGATGCAGAATCTGTTTTTCCTGTTGCTGTGTATTTATTGTGACCGAGTGTTGTGCATTAATCTTGCAGCATGCTGTTGTGGTGAAGTGTCATCCTTGTTCCCCTGAGTAATGATAGTCCATGCATACCTTGTTTGCATTCTTAGGATGTCGACTTTTTAGCAGTCAAAACCCAAACTGATGGTGTAGAATGAACATCAACAAAATACCTGTTGTCTTCCAGACTGGTCATGGCCCAGCAGAGAGCAAGCTGGAGCTCAGATGCCAGTTTCGGTACTAAGTCCTGCAGAAGCTTTGATCAAAATACTTTGTATTTTTCCTCTCACTTTCCTTCCTCTGTTGAAAGAGGAAGAGCAGTAGCTATTACTACATACCACTGCTTCTATATAAACAGCATATTCATTGCATATTGCTGTTAAATATTAAGCAGTGTTATATATTTTATAAAGCTCTGATAAAGCACTTTGAAGAAGAAATTTACATGATAATGATGTGCTGTTCAGATTTTTCTTTTGGTTTGATGCATTTTTTTACATATGAAATAGAAAACAAATATTTGATATGTTTGACTTTCGCACTTTTGATCTTTGTTTTTCATTCATAAGTAGCCCCTCGTTTTCTGACCTAGCATTTTTGGAGAATGAAAGTGGTGTTTTTCCATACAGTCCTTTATCCAAGTTCACACCAAAAGCACTGTGAATTTGGACTCCACCCTGTGCCCCAGACACTCCTCAGCATGAAAGAAAAGCAAATCTGTGTTTTAATAAGATGAAACCGAGTTGGATAAACATCAGATTTGAATTGCCTGGCTTTCTCTGGAGCTGTAGATTCACATCTTGGCTAAATAACTGCTAGCCCTTCTTCCATTTGAAATGGATATCTTGAGCAGTTTACAGTTTGGAGATCTTTTGAATAAGATCTTAAAAGAACAACCTCTCATCTGTTAGACACAACCAGCAAGGATTTGTGGTGTTTTGCCATGATTACCTGACAAGATTGCCTTCTGCCTGATTGCATGGTGCCCTGATCTACAGGTGGCCCTGCTTGAGCAGGGGTTTGGACCAGATGATCTCCAGAGGTCCCTTCCAACCTCAGCCAATCTGGCATTCTGAGACTTGCACTTTCTGCTCCAAAAAGACTTCCCTGTTACTGGAGCTGTGCTGGTGAGATCCTTGAAGGTGTTTGGAGTGACTTTATTGTCTCTTTTTTGTATTGACAATGATTATACATCCATTTGTTGTAAGTTCAAAGCTTACTGAAGCCACTGAAACTTTTCAGAGGTCAGGGGGACTGGATAACCTTGACATGCAGAGACAAAACTTGCGGTGAGAATGTGTTGTGTATTGCTTAAACAGGGAAACAAAATCAAATGAAATCTGTGCCTTTTTTTGACCAATTTTTTATAAAATGTGTAACTTGTCCCATGAAAGAGACCAAGGGCAATCTCTATTAGCTTGCATTAGCATTTCCCATTCAGCACTTCCCTCAAACATACAGGTCAAAGGAGAGTGAATGTGTGCATGACCTACATCCTTCGAAAATAGGGCAAAGTATTATTTTCCTAGGGACAGCAAGGTCTGTCCTCTGATTGTCCTCTGAGGGAATTTATTTCTTACATCCACAGAATCGACGACTGTTTTTGTGCATCTCGGAAACTGGATGCAGTTGCCACCGAAGCAAAGTTCAAGCAGGACCTGGGTTTCCGGATGCTCAACTGTGGCCGAACAGATCTGGTTAAACAAGCAATATCCTTGCTGGGGCCTGATGGGATTAACAGCATGAGTGAACAGGTAACGAGACAAAAACATAAAGATGCAACTGTGAAATGTGAGAGTTTTGTCTGCTTATCACAGAAAACAAGCCCCAGCTTTCAGCTAAACATAGATAGGACCTTAATGCTTT